AAAGAAACTAAGCAAGTCAACAAAAGAATGACTCGGTTTCCGCCAAAGTTACCAGAATAAGACATACAGTGAACAGGAATTTTGATTGGACATCATGTATGATAAGTTCTTTATCAAAGCACCTAAATTGATCATTGTGTTATCTACAATGGGAACATTTAAAGTGACAGGTGCTGATAAGTCACACTTCAAAAATAAGACAATCAGAAAACATGAACAGGTACTAGCACATAATTACAGGAGTATCAACTCCAGCAGTAACTCCATTAATGACATTACTAAATCCAAAAGATAAAAAAAAAAAAGAATGGTGGCTTTTGCAAAATTGTCTTGGCATAACCAGAATCACTCACTGACCATAAGCTTCATGTAAATAGCCTCTGAAGGTTGCAGGCGTATTACAAATTCATTTCTCCTTGCTTTTGACCTGAACAAATAACATTGTGTTTTACAAGGCATTATTCAAGCAAAAAATTATCATAATATTTACAGATATTCAAAAGAAGGCATATAGCAATTAGAAAATAATCACATCAGGAAACTGCAGCTTCTTGTTTCATGTACCAACCATGTTGAGAAGATAAGCCGCCTATTGTTTGGGACTAAACACCACTTTCACCTTTGTTACTGAAAAGACACTGTTTATCCTCTTATATTATAAACTGAAATTAATTCATTATATAGGGGTAACTTCTCTTTTTGTTGTTTGCATGTGTGCATCATTTATCTGGCCTCCCAACAGTTGCATAATATATATAGTCCCAGATTGAGACAAGGAAGTTTATAGAGATTGAATGCACACTTGTAGTTCACAAATTATGATCGCGATTCAAGAGTTTGAACCCTTCGACTAAATACCTCAAGGTCACACCATTTCATAAAAGTTACTCATATCATACTGGTCATAGAACAGTGTCACGGCTTGATGCTTGAACTAAAGTCAATATAGAAGACCAGAGAAGATAAACAATATTGAACTTTCTAATGTAGGAGCACAGATGCATACATCTGAATATATCACCAGGAACATCCTTAAATTGAACACGTATTTCTGCCTTTCTTGAATTTAATGCTTTCCCTGCCTTGAGTATGAAGGGAACACCTGCATGGCGATGTTAATAAGAAGAACATGGAATAGCTTTTCCACTATCTGATGCAAAAAAAAAAAATGCATGAGCAAAGAGCCACAAGGGTCAAGTCTGAGATTCCACTACACAACAGTAAAATTCTGCTTGAAGATTCAAGAAACATTTTCCCAGAATCATGAGGGCGATATGTAATGAACAGACATCATAAACTAATGTTGTAGATCACACATATCACCTTCCCATCTTTCGTTATGTATACGCAGAATCATAGTAGCAAGAGTGGGAGTATTCGAGTTGTCAGGAACAGTGGAGTCATCTGTATAGCCTTCATATTGTCCAAGAACAACCTCTTCATCTTTAATTGGCACAACGGATTGAAGAACCTGAATAACACGCTAATATCATCAAGCAAAAATGGAAAATAGCTGGGACTCAAAATGAACATATCGGCAATGAATTTCTTCTAAGAAAGCAATCAGATAAATACCTTCACTTTCTCATCTCGGATGTGCTCGGACTTGAGAGAAACAGGCTTCTCCATGGCAACCAGGCAAAGAACCTGTAGTTGGTAGGAATACGTTGGTGGATTAAACTAATATGGAGAACTAAGAGGAAGTCAGGCTACATAATTTATCTTAACATTGCTACCAGTTCCCATGTATTAGAAGTTTCTTTCTCAAATATTTATCTGTTGATAAGCAGAATTACTCTTTCAAACATCACAATAACTCTTTGGAATCTCAATCACACATAATAGTAAGTGCTTTCATGAGGGAGTCCCCCCACCTCTAAAATGAATTTTAAAAAAAGTCTTTGACTGACCTATTTTAGCCTGGCCCATGCAATTTAATACTGGGCTTTTAAAAAATACAGGGACTTCTTTATACAAAAAAAAAAAAAAAGTAGAAATGGACATTGCACCAAGTTACTGAACGAAAATCGAGGTTTCATATTGTGTTTTTTCTTGCCAAAGAGAGACCACATTAGAAAATCAACAGAAAACCCAAAATCAGACCACAATATGCATTGAATGGATTAAAAGAAAGCACAGTTCAAGACCCTAATATATGTAACCAGTGCCTAGGAGTAGTGACAAAGATCGAGTTATGTGGGTGCCAAGATTCAAATTCCATCATCTACCATTGAACAAACCAAAAGCAAAAATACATGTATTGGGATTTGGGACACCTTAGTCGCCAGAAAAAGTAAATAGTCTGTGCAGATGACACTATTATCTATATGTGGTATTTCCAACTTAATACGTCCTCATACCTGCAACAGATGGTTCTGAATAATATCACGGATGATCCTGTACCAAAAACACAAATAAAGATGTTATTTACTGTAAGCCTCTTGTTCCAATCATACAAAAACAAATGCACCCGTTCTCCAACATCCTTTTTAGTTTAAAGCTACACGTTCATTATTTCAGAATATGAGAAAAATGTTGACAGCAAATTTCAAAGCACCCTGCAGTGTGCATACAAGATTCGTAACAAACAAAATTTTTCATCAATTAAAAAAAAAATTTCCAAAATTTGAAGTCATAAGCAATAGAGAAATATGGCAACACAAAAAGTTTTAAACATTAACAGTGCATACCCATATTCATCAAAATAGCCACCACGACCTTCTGTTCCGAAATCCTCTCTAAACACAATCTGTAAGAGAAAGAAATATGACAGATAAATAAAGGGATAGTCATAGTCAGCAATTACTATATATGTATTGGAAAACAACTTTCAATCTTAAACATATTAGGGCAGACAAGTATATAGATAAGGCAACTACAAAACTCAAGCATGGCCTCTGCTGCAATCTAAAAAATTTATCTGAACAATAAGGAGCAAATAATATTGCACGTGTAATACCTACTAAATTAATTACAGGTTCTTCAGAAAAGTCCACCTTTCACAAAGAAAGAAAAAGAAAGTATAATGCAACCAGCAGAAAGATGCTCACCTGTACATTATCAATGTTGTCACGATTCCAAAGCGGCAAAAAGAAGCGATTAGCAAAACGAAGTACCAACTGCAAATTTTTCCAATGACACAAAGATAGACATTAGCACCAAAAGAAAGCTGGATAAGAAAATGTTAAAGAACAGACCAATGCATTACCAAATTCTGCACCAATTCCTTTCCCAAATAATGATCAATGCGGTAAATTTGCGCTTCATCAAACAACTCTCCAATCTGGGAACTAAGCTCCTCAGCCGAAGCTAGATCCTTGCCAAAAGGCTTCTCAACAACAATCCGAGTCCATCCACCAAGATCAGCTGATATGCATAACATGAAGAAGGTCATAAGAGAGTATAACTAAGAGGTTCTCATTTCCATCAAATGTGTAGCAATCACAAATCTATGTCAGCCAATGATGAGAAGAGGCCATAATGCAAGATAAACCTGGGAGGGGAACACAGTAAAAAATGGAATGAGATATCTACATAATGCATTCCTATGTAATATGCAATGGGGAGTTGATACTCTTTTCTATGCATCCAAACTTGTTCATCATTAGAAATACCTGTTCGTAATAATTTTCCTTTATTCATTCGGACTTTCTTTATGAATTTTTCAAATCTCTGGATAAAATAAGACAAAAAATAATATTATAAAGACAATAAACCCATTGTTACATTTCCCCATCAGAGTGGAATAGAGTACTTAGTTCTTTTGCAAGTACTGGAGAAGAAGATGCATCTAATGTATAGTGCGACTTGTCAGATATATGGGGTCATGTGGGATTTCCCCATCGAGATATCCTTGGTTTTGCCCAAGAAAGTTTAATTGAATCATCCAAAATTGGAGCGTAAGGTGTTCAATCCAATCCATATTTGGGAGGATTTAGATTACTATTACTAATTAGAATGATTTAGGGTTGGTTTGGTTGGACTAATAAAATGAAGTATCCAGGCTCCATTTAGAAAAGCCCAATTGGTAATATATCTATGATTACTACCTTGTATTTAGAAAGACAAATGTTTATATGAATCAGGGAGAATGAAAGCCAGTGGTAGTACATTGGTTTCCAATTAAATCTATATGAATGGCTACATTTATATGCAATTAAGTTTCTGTGTATGTAATGTATCCTACCACATAAATAGAAAAAAACCTAAATTTCCATCAAAACATCATGTATTCAACGGGAGAAACTGGTTGCATCAAGAAGGTATCTGCACTCGTTGAATAGAAGATGGAATTCCACTTAAAGAGACGAGGAGGGATTACAAAGAATTTAAGAATCAAAAAGCAATATTTTGTTGAAACCTCAAAACACACAGCCCCATACATTACATTGCTTCACTCAAAGGGTATGTAAAAACCCTTTCTCCATATTCTGGAAAGTATTCTTTTATCCATATTGCAAGACTTTGAATCAGCTAATTATATCAAACATGACTATTCAATGTGGTTTTCAATAATTTCCTTCTGCAGGTATCCAAACTCTTACTATTTGATTGTTTTATATCAAGGCCCTGGAAAGTGAGGAGTTCATGCAACCAGTAGACAAAACAACTGCTTCCACAAACACAAAGCAGTTATTTTTCGTTTTAAACTTTTTCTCCTCTTCTATTAGAGTACGAAACATCATTCATGTGGCCTCCTAAAGTAGCAGGACGAACGACACCATTGCTTTCCTCTTAAGCACTAGGCGTGTCTGCATGATGTTTTGTGGGCTCTCATGGTTGTAGGTCTGACTTTGTCTCCTAGAATGCAGATCAAAGACACACCTTGAAATGTATTCCTCTAGTGGATAGCAACTAATTCAAAAAAAGTGCGATATCAGATACCTGAAATTCAGAAACTGTTCTGAAATAAATGCACATACATTTGTTCGTGCAACAATCCTTGATCATTTTGCAGACAGAAGGATATACGGAGGGAGGAAGTGCCAAGTAAAATAGTCTTCGAGATGATCCTTCTGCACTGTTTTTTGCTACTTCATGCTCAGATATAATCTTTTCCAATGAACGAAAACCCTCCTCAGTATCATAAGAGCCACATACATATTTTATCTGCATGCCCATTGACAAGCCCATCACTGGTGAAAAAAATAATAACGATGTAACATAGACAAAAGGAAGAAACAACTGCTGAGCTAACCAATTGCAGAAACTCCAATACACCTTCCGAATGCTCTGCGGAAGCACCCCTGCCTGGGGCAAGATAACTGCACTCATAATCAATTGGTCAATGTACCCCCGTGAGTTAGTTCTTGCATCGATTGCCAAAAGTCATTACTGAGCAAAAACCACTACCACTATTTGTATTTGAATGTGATAGAGAACAAGAGGAGCAGTAAGAGAAATAACGAACAGAAGAATATCACAAGAAATTGAAAGTGAAGCTAAATGCAAAATAATAAAAAAAATCCGAGGTCTTCTCATGTATATGGACCAAAAAAGCATCCATTGAAGCCGCCAAAGAACAAAGTAGCTGCATGCCAAATCTGCCCAATCCTCTCCAGGATGTGGCTCCCTTCCAAAGCATGCATAACATTGCCAACTTTCAGGTGCAAAACCCAGGCTACCCCAATCAAGGCCAATAGCATTTGCCAAATATTCCTAGTGACCAAAGCTTTCTACCCTGAGTTTTCTAATGAACACACTATCATGGAGTGAAAAAAAAGAGTAAGGAAAACTCACCCACAAATGCACCATCTCAACTCCTCATCTGAAATCTTAGTCCTTGCATAGCCAAAAATGTGGACTTCATTTGGTTGCAAGAATCCCTGGGCATGCCGAATGGCAATTTGAAGTTAGCATAACAATGCCATGTTTCTCTGAAGTTTGGAAACTCAATCAAAAGAATCAATTCTTTATAGCACATGAAAGCTATTATCAATGTTAGATCTTTGACTTAATTGGTTACGAAGGGACATAAACTATTTGGGGGGTGGGGATTATCTATTAATTACTCACCAATTCATAACCTAAGCTAAATTCCAAAAGAGGTTACAAAAACCAAATCATCCAATCATGAGAAACAACAAGGAGATATCCTAATCCAACCTGGCGATAAAGGTTGAAGAGCGCTGGGAAAGTCTTTTTCTTGGCGAGATCACCAGAAGCACCAAGCACGATGATGGAGAGACAACCGGTTTCAGGAACATTCTCAATGTCTCTTGAGAAATTCTCATTTCTGATAGGAGCACTTTTCTCAATGCACCGTCTATCTGACATCATCTTCAAAGCTTCACAAACCGATAATAGCCACACTCAATCCACAATTTGCATGAAATGTGATCATCACTTATAAAACATTCCGGATCTGCACATAATAAAACAGAAACTCAGTGGTAAGAAACGTTAATAAATATTCAGGATGTTCTCCCAAATTCAGTAATCAATTTATCTGAATAATCAATCCCTCTAATTGACATAATTAGTGAACTTCGTTGATTAGCTTTTAAGCAATCAGTTTGGCTAATATTAGTTTTGTACATGAAAATATATCATAGATTAACTATCCAATCCAACTTCATTAATTAGCTTATGAGCAATCACCAATCAGCATAACTATCCAACTCCTATCCACCAACACGAGTGATCAAACAAAAGAATTATGAATAAGCACGTTTGATACATAATGCACATACGTAGTTAACAGAAAATATAATTGGATAAACTGACAAGATCGTCAGAAAAAATTCGTTTATAACAATTATGATATTCGCATATATAATATCATATTTCTTCAAATAAACGGCAGTTTGTTAGAATTAAGATTCCGATTCAGAAAATGGAAACGTTGACTGAAAAATATGAAGAATGAGATCCAACCTGAAACTGAGACTGAGAGAGTAAAACTATTGAAATCAGAAACACAATTATGAAGAAAAATTTGCAGAATTCGAGTAAAAGACAGTGAGAAGTACCTTGTCGATACGATCTTTGACGCGGAGAGAGAGAGAGAGATTGTGCAATTTTGTGGTTGTTGAAGATTGACGATTTGAGATTGAGATTTTGATTCTTGGAGGAGTGTGTGAGGTTCACCCATCTCGTTTGATTCTCATTAACCGTCGTAGGCGAAAATGAACAAAAACGGGGGGAATCAGTTTTAACGGCCCCACAAGCTCCCTTAATTGGCTAATAGTAATTTTATTCTGACCCAAATTTTTCATTAAATTGTATTCTGACCCAAATTTCTTCATTAAATTTTATTCTTGGACAATAAAATTTGAAATAATTTTTTTTATAGAGAAATGATATTTGGACATAATTTAATGGCCTAATTTATTAACCTAATCACTCACTGCCATTGAATTGACACTGAGTTTCAATGTTCTTTGGAATTAGCTACTAATGTAATAGCTATGATAGATTATGTCAAAAAAAAATTAGATCAAAATAGTATTATTAATTTCTATAGTAAAATCTTAATTATTTTCCACACATTTGGTATTCTTTACCGTACATAGTAAACTATGTGTTTAATTGTTTCTTTGAAGTATTGTACTATATGTTTTCAGTTTTCATAATCGTACAATGCTCAAAAAATTAATTTATGGATTACAAGATGACGTGATTGCGAGGTGATTTTGGCAGTGGCCGTGGTGGTAGTGGTAGTGAACTTGGTGGAGATTTAGGGTTTCATAGTATGAGCCGAGATGAGGATGCAGGTACACCAATAGGAGGTTAACGGCAAAGGTGGAATTTAGAATTGGTTAATTTTTTCTATTTAATCTATTTTTTTAATTTATTGTTGGTTTATATAAAAGTAAAGTTTAAATGCATGTCATTCAACAGCGTATGTTGAATAACAAACGGTAAAGTAAGAATAAAGCTTTAAAATAAAAAAAAAAAAAGGTAGTTTGTCCCAAAAGCAGAACAAAAGAGGTCCGTGGAGAAGGACACAACCCACAATAAAACAAAAATGAAGCTGAAAGCAACAATGATAGAGCTGGTGCCAGGTTGGAGGGGAAGAAGGTGGAGGTTTGAAGCATGTGAATTTACGGTGGTTTGGTAGTGAACATGGAGGTGGAGGGTTTGGGGTTAGGGCTGCGGTATTGTGGATGAAGGTAGGAATGGGAGTGGGTAAAGTTTTAGTGGCGAGACTGACGGTTGGAATAGAGGTTGGGGCTTGGCAGCCATGTTGAAGTAAGGATTTAGGGGATGAACAAAAGATAGGTTGGTTTGTTAGTAGCATTGGGTTTGAACTAGGACAGTGGAGATATTTTACAATGGTCTAATTTGCTTACCTAAACGCTCGAATATTGATACCCCACTGAAACGATCATTGATCACCTCGTATGTCTGCATTTAATTTCTGATTTTGGGGTTATCTTTTCCAACACTGTTTGTGTGTCTGTATATATGTACATTTTGGACCTTCATTGAGATTTCCACTGACCTTCTCAGGTGATAGTACACTTTTGTAGCCACCAAGAAAATGAAATCACCATCTTGAAGAATTACAAATATGTAACTTCTCAGCTTTTAAATAACACCAAAAGATATTAAAATCATACCCTGGTAATGCATAACATGAAATTCGAAATTTTGTAGCGATTTAACAGGGAAGTATCCACGCTACTGTTTCAAAGATTGGTGGACGACACATGTACACTGATAATCACATTCAAAACCTGATTGCACAAGGATTTGACATCCACATATGACCATGTTTATTGTCCCTTAAAGCTTTCGCCATGCTCACCCGAGTTTCATTCGTCCTGTGCCATCGAGTTTTAAGAGATGACTACCCATTTTATGAGAGATGACCGAGGCCACAAGTTTAACCTTCACCTGGGAGAACCACAGATATTACTCGACAGAACAGAATTGGCAGGAACAACACTAACTCAACCTCCATATAATTAAAGAGGAAGCGGTACCTCACCTGTGAAGTCAACCATCACATTTTCAACCACTTAGGTTTAACAGTCTTTTTGTCAGCAGGCCTCTGCTCTTGAGTGACACGGGAGGTACTACCTATTACAGGTTCTGGGGCAGATTGGGCAGGCTGCGCCTGCTCAGCTGCAAGTTCTAAGCCTTTCAAAGACATGACCTCCTCTTGAAGAAAAGGACCTGATACAGCTGCATCATCATTGCCTGGAAAAGAAATAGCTATTAAATCAAAACATTGAGCATTTGATGTGGCTACATACTGGTGGGTCAAGCAAGACACTCTAAGACCATGGAGGAATAAAGGGGAGAGCAAAACTATTCAAAATTTTCATTCGTAATCCACATAAGAGATGTGCTCTCTCTGTTCCATAAAAACCTCCTAAAACAATGCTACCCCAAAAAGGTGGTCCAACCACGCATTAGGACAAACCGGTGCAATGTTTAACACCGTTTCAAGAACTTGAGACAAGAAATTACAGAACTATTGAGTAAAAGACTTCTAAAGCTACTCGAATAACTATGAACAATAAATCTATTGTAACTTTATTGATTCCACATGACTAAGCCTCAAGAAAGTTGTTCTTACAATGGAGCCTGCTACAATCATAAGGGTGTAGGATCAGAACATATTGACTGTTTACATGGGAAATAATAGGAAGTTTGAAGAAACCCTAGAAGATTATATTGAAACTAAGAAAAGTTAATCCATTAACCAAATTTTTTGACAGTAATATTAGCATTAATCTAAAATCAGATTTTTTATATTAGAAAATTAGTTTAGTTCCTATAGGATTGATGATTTTTTGGTGTATTATTTATGAACTTATGTAGGTTTTCTTTGTTTCATCTTGGATCACCACTCCACTATTTTGAATTTTCGTTGAAGCCCCTGTTCATATACATAAGTTGCGCCTCTAAATGTCATTCTTTTGATGTAACTATGCTTATAAACAGTTTATCAAGAATAAATATTTTGATGAAAACAAGGTAACAATTATACATTGAAATTTAAGAATTTAGGTTGCCCCCACTGACACAAAATCCTGACTCTGCCCCTGATCATGACATGCTCTGAGGCACAACCATATGTGCTTAAACATCCCTTTGTGAGAAGTTGTGAGTGGAAGGACCCCCAACCTTCTGAGATACATCCCACAGATATTTAAGTAACTTTAACATGCAAGATACTTTCAGTGGTTGGGACAATGAAGGTGGATGTAGACCCAATGACCCAAGCACAGACTTCAATTGGATGTCAATGTGTGTTAAACCAGAGGTCTCAATTTTAAATAGTGACACTTTGTGTGATATCCAGTTCCAGTAAAATCCTTGGAGACCAACTAGTGACATCTGACATGTACAGGAGATTTAAGTCTATCAAGAACCGCACTTTGGATACTTAAAAAACGCCTAGTTTAGTTGCCATTAAAGGGTCTGGGAGGGAGATTTGGCACAAACATAACATTTGACATTCTTTTCACCAATTGGTTGCCTTCAAGTTTGAACCCACAACCTCAAGGTTATTGGGCCAAATTTTAATACTAGAACTATACGATTCATATTTTAATATACAAGTATGTCTCAATAAAACTCAAACTTTTGTAAAACATATCATAGTTGAACTATTTAGAACAGCTCATAAATAGGATATGATGGGAAGATTATGATTTATTGCACACGAAGATTCAAGCAGCTGAATGTTAACTATGCTATGGTGATAAACATGCACAAACCTTTCGGTAGATCATAGGAAAAATACACGATTGCACCAGGAACAAAGCCAGCCGAGTAGAAATCCAGCGACGTGTCTTTAATTTGCTTCTTAGGAGGAGTGGTATCTGGCGAATAACCGCATATAAAGCAAGTTTAGTGATGTGCTGCCCCATTTCAAATGCTTTTTCTGGTACTAAGCTCACATTTTACAAGATAGATATCAATGATTCCATTAGAAAAAAGCTTACAAACACAAAAAGGTAGTTCCGGTTGAGCAACCACTTTGACGAGAAGATCAACCAAACATTGAATTTTCTCTGATGGATGAAATGTAACCTCCAACGTGTGATTATCAGGGAATCGTACCCGAATTACAGCCTGAATAACGAGAAATTAGGTTATAGATTTATGGAAATGAAATCTAACCAATTTACTAAGATCAAATGTTTCGCACACAAAAATACGAAGTCCAAACTAGCGACACAAGAATTTTGAGCTATTGATCTAATAAGCACCTTGGTTATCCTTGACCTTCGAGCAGCCTCCTCCGCTTCTCGGATTTTTCGCGTCTTTAGGAATTTATCTGCTCAGGATTCCAGTTCATCCCATTTAAGGATGTCTCTAATATCATAAATACAAACACACATGAAACATAATCTTGTGCATTCTCTGTGTACATCTACTATGGGTTTATAGTACATTTTGCATTCGCCTCTAACTTTGAATGCATGATCAGGTAGCAAATGAAATAAGGGGGGAAAAAATTGAAAGGAGAACTAATGATTTAATTAACGAAGAATTGAGAATGTGCCTTTTACCAACTATTCAGGTTCTGCATATAATGGGTCCCAAATGCGAGTAGACATATTCGTCCCAAATATCAACTAACTCATTGGACACAGACGATCCACTGAACCTTGATTATTTATAAAACGCTTCGGTTGAGATACAAAATTCATTATAGAAAATATAGCAGATTGTCCAAAGTATAAATCCCCTGTCACTAGACAAACAGAAGAAAAATACCCTATTTTCTCTGTGTCAGTCTGTGAAAATTCCTAACCTAAAATAAACTCATACAAGAATAATACCTCCATTTTTAGTCGCTAAAATTCGATAATAATCCTCGGCAGTAAACTCATAAAAGTCATCTGGCTCCTCTGCTCCAAAAAATAAAGTAGAATACAAAAGGAAAAATCAAACACGTTAATAAGGCATTACACACCACACAAGACATTTCAGATTCTTATATTAGTTGACAAGGATAATATATTAAAAAGAAATTTAATGAAGTTTAAGTGGTCCACACCATTGTTGGAAACATCACTTGATGATGGAGAGGTGGTTACTGTTTCAAACACACGGATTTCTCGTCCAAATTTTTCTTTTGCAGCTGCAAGCTTTGCCTGTATCACCCAAGGAAATTTGACATAATTGCACAGCACCATGCCAGCAGCCAAGTAAATCAAGATTATAGCATAGCATAGCATACTAGAACACCCATTTTCCAGTTCCTCAAAAATTGAAATACAATATGAATATAAGTAAAACTAATGGGAGTAGAGAAAATTTATAAACTCAATTTCAGACCAAAAGTAACTAAGTGACGGGGGAAAAAAAAAAGCAGTAATTTACACCAACAGTGCAGAGAGTGCACATTTCAAAAACTGTAAAAGCCTCATAAGCTAGAGAAATATAACATATTTACAAATGAAACCCCTCAATAAGCTAGCTTCCTATTATCTTTATCTTTTCATGCGTCTTTTAAAATTTGGGAGCCTAATTCCTCTCTGGGTCAAAAACAATGACAGATAACAGAAATTACTAAGATACACAAATATAAGTCATGGATCAGTCATAGAACCACAATGAAATTTAAACAGGATGACAAATTTCAGTTCTTCACGCACTACCCTCGTTCTCAAAGCAATCAAAGTACTTGAATTTCACTCGAGATCGCAAGTATTAACTAGGAAAACAAAAAAAAAGGGGGGGGGGGGGTATTGGCATTTATCAGCATCAAAGTCAAAAAAACAAAAAACAAAGGCAATTGAATAAGCTCCAAGAGAAGCACCGCAACGATAACAAGAATCAAACAATATAAATAAATTTCGAACATCATAAGTCAAGATTAGATATAATTGAAATTAAACAATATAACAGAAACCCATATCGACCCATCTCTTGAAAGAATTAAAACCACAAGAAATCAAGTAAAGAACATAAGGTAGGTGAGATAAAGAATTACCTTAGCTGATTCTAAGTCCATTAGATCAATAGTGATGAGTCTCTTCCGCTTCAAAGCTGGTGGTGAATCTGATCTCATGAGCGAATCAAGCAACCCAAATCACAATCTCATCTAGAATCTCTCTCTCCTTTTCCCCCTCTTGAATTTACAGCATCGTCTTCCAGCCAGTTTCCAATTGTTTCTCACTTCGCCCGCAAGACTGGTACGACCTCTTGATTAATCGCAAAACACTATTCTAGAAGGTTGGGGAGTGCACGTGTTATCGCACGTGCCGTAGATGCCAAAATTGATATTTAATCTCATCATCTAAATCAACTTCAACCTCCCGCATAAAAACCAGTTTTAACTATTTTGAAGAGCCAATTTCAAAAATTTCTTTCCAATCAACTCTTTATTTCATTATCTATTTTATCTCTTCTCATTTTCGCTCGTTACTTCTAGCGAGCGAGATTCCCTAGCTATTTGCTTTTTGCGCCAATTTTGAAATTGATCTTCTTGTACTGTAGTTTCATCGTCTTCATCATAACTCATATGTACTCAAGTATGGATCTCTCTCTATCTCTTTCTCTCTCTTTGCTTGAATCGATAGAAACCCTAATGTTCAAATAAAAATTGAGATAATTTTGATACCCCAAATGATGAAATTAATAACTCATAAAATCACTATAGTCTTTTATGTGAAGTAGAAGACCATTGTGGTCTATTATGCATAGGAAGATGAAGAGTTTTGAGCGGAGATGTGTTCAATCTTTTTTTTTTAGATTTTTTTGGTTTAACTATAATTTTTTTTTTTCTGGTTTAACAATGACTCACATAATTTAAGGAAACAGTATGAACTAAAAACACAATCTAATTTGGATTGATCCTGAAATTTTTATGTATTAGCTATGAATTCATTTTGTATCTATGCTTTGACATTTTATCAAACACTTGGTTGACACATATTATTAAAAAGTTAGTTAAAGTAAATTGCAAAAATAGGCAACATACTTGAAATGAATTTATAAAAATAATTAGTTAAAATAGAAAATATAATATTTAAATATATTTTACAAGTCATTTTAAAGAATTGGATTGGAATTGCTCTAGTAAGTGGTTCGATGGGCTAGGCTCGTTTTGAACCCATAGGCACAAGAGGCTCATGGCAACAATTGCAAATGGGTCAACAACCCAGGGTGAGGGTGGCAAAGGGTTATGGGGTGGTTGTCGGGAGAGGGGTGAGTGTGGTTTGGAGAGAGAATGTCTGGTGGGAGTAGAGGACAATTGGGGCTAGTTGTTCAGACTTATTACAATTCATTAAATCCCCGAGGACTTACGATTTGGATATATCAATTTCAAATAAGGTGAATTTACGATTTAGATCATCAAAATATACGATCCCGAATTATACTCGTAACTCAAATATAAAATATTTATTAATTAACCACATGTATATAAATTTATAATTATATACACAAATATAAGATAAATGATAATTGAATTAATGTTTATGAATGTTCTATGATATATAATATATTGTATAGTGATAAAAACGATATAAATAAAAATTTTAAAATGAATTGCGACAAAAAATACCATACCAACTAAAATTATCTCATCGTATTGCATACCTAAGAAAATATCGTATCGCATACATATACTTGTATCAAATACTAATGTGACCCACGATTTAAGTAATATTGTGTTAGATTAGTTCAATACTCGTCATTCTTATTCTATATATAGAAATATCTGTTTCTACAATTTAAATCCTTAATATCTAAATCACAATATAATAATCTTACTATTGCATCAATACTTACTCTTATAAAAAAGAAAAATAATGTTTTTACAACTTAAAATTTTCATGTTATTTGAATAAACCTTTTTTTTTTTTTTTAACAAGAAAAAACCTTGACATGAGCAGATTTTACTTTTTGAATATCAATTGACAAAGTAAAACATTTCCAGTCAATACAACCAAATATCCCCTGAAGGGTAGTATGGGCAAATTAGTTAAAGTATATTATGGTGTATAACATGGGTTTTATGGTAGTTAATTAATTATCACCACTTGTATTAGATAAAGAAAATGACTATTACGGTATTACCGCTTCGTTTGTACACGCATAAGCGTATCCAAGGCCCATTGCAATACGGAAATGGGCTCCTAAAAAAGCAAAGCCCAATATGCCTGCCAGATGGTCTCTTCTCATCATCATAATCATCACAACCCCTTTATTTTACTTATAATAATAATCACATTGACTAATTATTAAAGGGTTGGTTTGGCACCCAAGTGAAGCAATATCACTATTATAACTCGCCGGCATTCAAGCATTTTCTCGTTTACATTACTGATCATATAATCACTTTAATCTACAAAGCACAAATAAATATTTGTTAAAAATAATTATTAAGAGGGAGCTTATATAATTGAGGAAGCCTTATAATAATAGTAAGAAATAAATTAAGGGATAATTAGCGTTTGAAAACAATGTGCAACGTAAGTAAATAGGAACGGATTTAAGAAAAAAAAAATTCAATGTGAATAATTTTAAAAGGAACGTTGGTAGTCATTGAATAAGTTTATTTGAAACCGTGTTTAAAATCACGGTGAAAATTTAAGAGAGATATCGGTGATCGTTTAATGAATCCACTTGAGACTGTTGAATGAACTTATTGAAGGTTGTCGTGTTTTATATTATAAATTATAATTATAAATTTATATTATAGATTTTGTTTTGAAATAATTTAATGGTAAACTCGCATGGTCTTGGTAGAAAGCGTCAAAAATCAGAAATTGAAGTTGGCCGGCAACACTTAGGCCAAGGGTTCACCAGCGCACGTTAGAGACAAGCCTTCATGGAATTCAAATTCTTAAATGGCCTCAAACGTGATTCCTTTATCCTGCAGGGTCCCACCGCGAAAAAATAAGGAGTACTAATAATTAATGGATTTAAAATTAGATTTAATAATTATAATCATTAATTTCATTTGGTTTCAATATTTATTGAGACTTGCCTATTCAATAATTATAATTATTAATTTTAATTTTTAAATTCATTTAGTATTACTCAAAAATAAAATGCAAAAGGTCACCTCATTAATCCCTAAAAATCCCAATCACTTCCCCAAAATATTAACTAATTACAATCGTTAGGCCACATGCGTAATTATATCAATTTACAGGGACCTGTTTTTGAAAAAGAAAGACCAACAGTTCAAGCAAAATTAAATCGGAAAAACCAACAGAAACACACAGGAGAGAAGAGAGACTATGCAGAGAGAAAAGAGAAGCTAATTGTAGATACAGAGAGAAGCGTACGAGAGAGAGGGGGAGGCTGATGACGATGGACCGAGAGAAGGAGAGAGAGATAGAGCTAGAGAGTGCAATGTACACTAATTGTTTGTTGTTGGGACTGGATCCGTCGATCATCGGCGTCGGAGCCAATAACGGTACCCCTCGGGTTGGACTCTTCCGTCACTCTAACCCGAAATTGGGCGAACAGCTTCTATACTTCATCTTATCCTCTCTCAGAGGTCCAATTCAATCCGCAAAGGTGATATACATATGTACAACATCTGCAATTTATGCATATATTTTGATTTCATTTCAATGCGATCAATTTTTTTAGTTTATAATTGTGAGATCTTACAGGACTTCGATAGAGTCTGGCCAATTTTTGATTCGGCACAGTCGCGTGACTTTAGAAAGGTGGTTTTTTATTTATTTATCGAATTTAATGTTATTTAAATTGAGTTCGAGATTTGCGCTTATTTGTGGAAATTTGTTATATGTTGGTTTTATATTATGGTTAAGTAGGTTGTACAAGGGATAATAAGTGAGCTGGAATCGCAAGGGGCACTTCCAAGAAGCAATTCAAGGGTTTCGTCTCTTGCTACATGTTGTGGACCCAGGTTAGATGGTGAAGACTCTCATCGTAAATGCTTTAAGTGAATAGGCTATAATTTTAGTGTTTTTTCCCTTTTCCTCCAACTATTTGCAAGTTGTTATTTGAATTTTTGCTAAGTATCCCGTTGGCACTTGTCATTTTTTGGAACTGTCTCATTTGGGTGGCCAAGTATTGCGTGCCAACGACGTTCGTTACGTGGAATAAACTAACATAGATTCTCTTACCTCGGAGAAAACAAATTGTCACAGCTGTTAAAACCTATATTTATGATTGAATGTGCAAGATTAAGGAAAAAAAATGAATAATATCTCTACTAAATCATGGCTGGATGCTATGAGTAATGCTACTTTAAACATAGCAATATAGCATAAGTGGGTGGAATTACAAATGCTTCCAACTAGTTGTTTGGTACTATAAAGGTCACTATGTTCGTGGCACATGTTGCATATATTAGGGAATGGATATCATCTAGACAGGAACACTTGATCTGGGACAAAACTTCCCCCTGAAAATAATGCAGAGAAGCAATATGAAACAAAATAGTAGAGAAAGAAATGACCGAGAAAAGTGAGAAAAGGACTTTGGTTGATAGAGATCTCCCACAGTATTCAATTTTGCTTTGGTTAGGCATCTAATAAAGATAATTTTCTCATTTCCCGATGACATCCAAATAGACAGGAATGTGTTTTGCAAGATACTTATTCAAGAGAAAATATATTCCCGACATACCAAATCAATTGGTTTTGACCAGTTGTACTTGATCTTCTTGTGCCTTTTAAAATTTAATCTGACCGATCGCCTTTTTATTAGCTTATGCTTTTATTCGGATAGGAGAATGAGGTGTAGGGAACTCAATTTTTTGAAAGGCTCCGAAGACACAATAGACGTGGGATTTCTACGTAATAGTACGCTATGAAGTTAAGGTCTGAGTTGTCTGACAAAGTTTTAGATTCCAACTGAAAAAGAAAATTTGTATAATTTGGATTAGCCAAAGCCACATATTTTGTATGTTCACGAGTCTGGAAGTTTCATCTTAAGTTATCTTTTTGTTTGAGAGAACTTTTAAGGATCGTAGGGCTTATTTATACTTGAGAGAACTTGCAAGAGAAGAGGGCTAAGCTTTTCACGGCCATCTATTATTTTTGGCTCCCAAACAAGGGGTGAATTGGAGGAAATCTGCATAGGGGTAGCTCAAAATACCTACAATTCCATAGAGATAGAAACATACATAGTCAGCCAATTTTTATTTTGATAAATTTTATTGATAGGAATGTGATGCAGGAATGCGTAGGTTTCTTCTGTACTAACTGTAAAGGGGGTGAATTACGTGGGAAAGTGATGGAGTAGGGATTGAAACGAGGAATAAGGTTGCAGTTAATCAATCAATGGTGGTTAAGCCTTCTGTTTGCAATTGTGGCAAATATTAGTGATGCCAACGGTGCAGTGAGCTGTATTTCTAAATATTGTTGTGAATAGTAACATGAGCAGTGACTCATAGCAAAAGTGTTTTTAGAAGAATCAAGTAACAGATGAAAGTTATGAAGACATAGAGAGAATTCTGTGTTGTATAACTGTTTGTGGAGGATCTATACTTATTCTGTCTGGCTTGTGGCTTTAGTGTTTCACTCTTGTGGATCAAATGAGTACTAGCTTGAATATCTACTTTAACAGTTTTCCTTGATGGAATGGAATGGAAAATAGTATAGCCTCATGTTTTAGATTACTCTTTAGTATTTTAAATACAGGACTAGATTTCTGACTGGGTACTGCATTTCACAATGTCAACAATTGGAGAGAACTGGCTTGAATATGTAACATGATAGTTTTTCTTTGTATATTATTTTTCCCCTTTTGCCAGTACCATAATAACTTCACTTTACACTTCTGTGAATTTATGTTACGATTGGAAATAGTAGATCCTCTTATCTTTATTTTGCTCTCATCGAACTGGTTTTTCTGAGTGATGACCTTCTGGTTAGATTGCCTTCCCACTTAGATTTTTGCTGCTGTTATATTTTTGAGCTTAGTCTTTTTGTCTTCTAATGTCCATGGAATCATGGATGTCCTTTTATACAACTTTATCGGTACTGGAAAATGTAGTCCTTTCTTATGCCAGCATACTGAATGCTTTTCAAAGGTTTTCTTTTCAACCTACCAAAACTTTGCTTTGATGTGAAGTTTGGCCTTGTTAGTAAATTTGGTCCAGATTGGAAGGAAATGTTTGAAAAATATATTTCTTCTTTGGAAATTAATAGCTATCATGGTTCATTCTCAGTTATTTCCATTTCCATTTTGTATGTACCTGCTAAGACAAGATACATTTGCTGGTAATTTTTTTCCTATTTTAATGGAAACACAAACAAAGCTGTCAAGTTATATTCCTCAGCGGGTATTGTAAACATGAAGCTTGTTAAACATCCATTTGCTCCAAAAGTTTAAATTGTTAGAGAGTGTATAACTTAAGTATTTATACATTAACACGTCCCTTCACATTCAGACTAACGTGTTGACTAAATTTTAGGTCTAGCACGTAAAAATATCTTAAAAATCAGGGTGACAGCAAAACTCGAGTATAGGACCTCCTGTTTTGATACCATGATAAACAATCATCTGCTCTAAAAGTTTCAATTGTTAGAGAGGGTGTAACTTAAATATTTATACTTCAACAAAGCTTTTATTGTTATCTACGTTAACTGCAGATTCGTTGAACTTTTGTGGCAACTTTCTTTGCATGCTTTGCGAGAGGTTCATAGACGAACGTTTGCAGCTGATGTAGCTTGTAACCCACTGCCTGCTTCGCTAACAGATGTAGCTTTCTCGCATGCGGCTACACTGCTTCCTGTCACAAAGGTAATCTGATTATACTGAAAAATTATACTTTCAACATCTTGGACTTGATTTTCGATGTTTGTGATATATGTGATGTGAGACAATGATTTTGAAAAGAAAAACAAAATAGATGAAAGTATGCTCACTTTCGTGGAACATGGCAATGAATTTCAAACTCCTTCAATCAGAGGATCACTGTAAGCCTGCAGATTTAACCCTTGTTTGGTGAGATAAGAAAAGAATGGGAAGCAGGTGGAGTTGCATCAATCATTTCGGATCTTTTAAAGTGAGGGAAAAGGAGAAAAATGGAGGATTTAATGACCCTTTGATCCATTCTTATTTTCTTCCAAAAATGGGAAGATTTGGAGTGGAAACAAAGTTCCGTTAGTAGTTATCATTTTTGCTTCTATTTTTTTTTTGAAAATGTGATTTCCTACTTTCTCCTTCCTACTTAACTAAATTAATCATGTTTCCCTCCTACAAACTCCAAACAAGGGGGATGGTTCTGATATACCTTTTCTTTGTTCCACACATAAATCTCTCACATAGGGGTTGTTCCTCTCTCTTTCTCTCCTTGGGGATCCTTTCTCTTCATTTTTCCAAAACTCACCAACATAGTGTTATCGTTTTTCATTATTCAAGAATCTATTTCTCAAGCAGCTTTTGTGCTCCTGATGTTAATTTATTTTTTCTGATGCTACTGTTGAGTTAAATGTGAAGGTGATGCTAAATATTTAATGTGGTATTTTTAGCCTCATAGATGTTGCGTGTCAATGACTTCTCAAACACAGCAGCTTCTTTGTTCTTTCATGGGGTCTGCTGATTACTCTCTTAAATGGGTATTTAATGCATTAAGGTTGAGTTTGAACCTGATGAGAGTTATTGGGAACTGAGAAGAAGCAATAGAGCTTTAGATTCAGACTACGATATACTCTGGTGTTTCTCTAAATTGGGATGAATTTGTTCATCAAAATTAGTGGCCACTCCATCTTAAATGTTTGCATGTTATTATATAACACCCTAGTCAAGTGTTTATGGAAAACATAGTTTTCAAGGTTTGAGTTGAGTCTCCTTTGGTAAACAGGCTCGAATAGCACTTGAAAGAAGGCGGTTTTTGAAAAATGCGGAGACAGCAGTGAATAGACAGGCTATGTGGTCAAATTTAGCTCATGAAATGACTGCAGAGTTCCGTGGTCTCTGTGCCGAAGA